CTATTTTTGAACAATAGTGCGAAACAACCAATAGTCTGTACCAATGTGTGCCTGTTGTGTCTGTACCAATAGTGTGAAATATGCACACCAAACTATTCCAATACATTGATATCATTAATTGAGATTATACATTTTCATAGTAACGATATTTCGTTTGTTTTTGAACTGATACGAGATTTCATATCCTATCAAGTGTTGCCACATCCCAAGCTGGACTTCATTGTTTACTTGTACACTTGTTTCGCTCCTGAGCAAAAAAATAGCTTCACTATCTGTGCGTGTTTTCTTGAACTCAGCGGATTATACTTAGTTATCCAAAGAATTGTTTTCAGTGTACAGCAGGAATTAGATTTCACCACAAACGGCACCCAAAGGTTTAACAGCCCAAATAAATGTAGTTGATTTGGTTTCGCAAAAAGTTTTTATTTAAGGGGAGCAAATATGTTCTTTATTACCAATAAACGTTCGTCGTTACTTTTATTCATACATCAACTGAATATAGTACATTAGGGTAGAGTGCCAGAGTTCAAGATAACATGCGGAGTGCAGTTATGACACAGGTGGTTCTTAACTGTTATTTTACATTAAATAAACGTATTTTAACAATCACTGAGCTAAGCGGCACGCCCTTGGGGTACCCCCGGCCCACTGTGCACCGGGTCGCGCCGGTTCCCCACTGATGCATCGACGAGTTCGGCTGCTGCTGCCGCTGCTGCCGGGGCCCTCCGCGGCCGCGCTTGCCATGCAAACTTACGCGCTGGAACTTGGGGACGTCGTAAAAGCGGGCGGGGATGAAGGGGCGGGCGCGCTGCCTATGGGCAGATTCCTTCCACCCTCCCACCCTTCCTCCCCCTACGCCGACCGACCGATTCCGGCGCCGCGCTCTTCCCAGCGGATGTGGAAGTGGCGTCATGAAACCGGGATATGCAACGCAATGTTTGGAAAATGTGTGGATGTTCGCACTGCCTGAAGGAATATGAGAAACTCAAATGGACATAGTAAGATGAGATGCAGGCGAGAGGCAGTAGGTAAGTTACAGCTACATATTCTTGTTTGTTTTTGATTTTTACAAACGAATTTGAGTGTGTGCAGTATTATTGAATGAATCCAGTGATGGATTGCATTTCCCTACGAAGGATGGTGAGGTGGTTCGGAGGGTGAATGATTTGATAGATATACTACGCGTTGAAATTCAGTCGAATGTATGCGAAAATATTGAGAAAACTTTGGGCTCATTGGAAGAGGCGACATGAAAATTACTAAACAACATCGGGAAAACGTGTATTCGTAATTTCTCATGAAATACGAGAAAGAAAAGGGGTTCCAGACGGATATAATCGGTGAAAATGGGTAGATGCGAGGTCCAGTGCAGTTATGTTGAAACCATATAAAATAATTAATTCTGATATGAGAAAAAGGATCACATTGTTGGGTTACCATTACACGCCACTGTACGAAAGGATGAAGGAATAATGAACTATAGACTTGAATGAATATGAACTATAGGCTTGAATGTGACTGACATAGGATATTTGGTGATCTGACAGTGAGAAACTCGCGTCAACCACATTGTAAAAACATTCGTGTCGCCACTGAATATTGAAGTGGTGATATAAAAAGACGTATCTAAGCAAATAGGTTCTTAATACGCGTAGTTTTCGTACTGCCTGAAGGAATTAGACAATGACAAGTGCCCACAGTGAATGTATCAATACGAAGGAGTGGTATAACAGTTGAAGATTCGCTTGAATCTTTTGTAAAGAGGTCTCTTTAAATAACAACAATGAAAAACAAAAAAACTCTAATTAGATACAAATGAAAATTTATATGTACATGCTACCAAGGAAGACGTTTGGGCAAGATACCTGAAAATATCAGGAGTTGTGCCCTCACGAGAGTTATGAAAAGTATGTTAACCTCCAAGTTGGTTATATGGTACGAACAACTTTTTGATTTTCGGCGCTTTTTGTGGCATTAAGAGGAAATATTTTCATTACGATTACGTGCAGAAAACGAAATGACCTTCCAAATGTATTATTCATCCAGTATCGATTACCAAACAGTATCGCGTAAAAACGAGCCCTTTCCATCCATTTTCTGTACAGAATAACGATGAAAATGACCATGTAAAACGGGCTTTAGGAAATGCTAGTGGGGTCGTCAACTAGGAAGCCATGGTTCGCATCCAGGCTCGTGCACACGGGCAGCTGGCACTACGGCTAAGCAGTGCGGCGTCGAATTGGAGAGTCACGTCAATGGGGTAGGTGGGAAGCACTCAGAACAATAGGGTATGGACAAAAACAACCTGTAGCTAGGTGCGGGCTGCGCGTAACTCTCAATGTGAGCTAATCGTCGAATCAAGGGTGCACACGACCCAACGTTGGGAAAGGTACGCAACAACTCCCGGCGAACCTTGACGGAAAAAGTACAGCAGGAAATAGTGCGGGTGCGGGGGCCGGCAATTGAGTCCAAAAGGTGGAGGAGTCACCATGTTATCCTCCGTTATTTAAGCACAGGGATACTGCCGAGTCGCGGGATCCAATGAGTACTGGGATTTCCGTGGTGAAGAACAATTTCTTCTCCTATGCGGGAGTGAAAGTCGCAAACGTTGGCTGTGCGAGATGCGACTCTTGTCAGAGGACTTCGCATCCAGGAGTAGCGCGCGTGTGCACACACTGGGGTACCCTACCGATTCGCTTGACGACGAGGCATGCTTCAGAGGTTAAGGCTGAGGAGGATGACCTTTCCTCATGCGTTTTATAAATATTGTAGTGTAGTATTGTAGTATTCAAGTGTAAATAAACATTCAAATAGAATCTCAGGGACTGTGAAGTTCCTCTAGTCCGTCGACCTCACAATATCCTAACCTAAATCATAGAAGTGTGCTTATAAAAATTACGTAGAACACAGCTTCTTCATGACAAGTCAAACTCGCCTTCAAAAGGTGTTTTCTGGTTGAGACATCATCCACCAATGAGGTCACACGTGATGTGCGCAATGTACATAGGCGGAGCAGGGGCTGGTGGGGCCGGCACTCGACGTAAGAGCGCTGCGCGGAAATTGGAGGGTGGATTCGCTTCCGGAGGGGGTACGCCTTCCCCCACACCATACACGTCATTTCCGCTCTGGATGTCTTCCCCCACCTCCTTTCCTCTGGCACGCGAAAAAAAATCCATCCTTCTTCCTTGTTCAGAATTGAAAATCCCCTGCTGATACAGTAGATGCTCGAAATTTCGAATTTATCCTACTTCTCTTTACATTCTGTACTAGTGGAACCGGCAATGCTTCGCTATTGCAATTCACATGCTACTGGTCTCGTGATTGTTCATCTCGTTTTACGCTTTGCAAAGATTTCAACAGACGACAGACTTTCTCGCGAGTTTGTTTCCGTCTCTTTGTGTCTCTCACTGACTCTGTTTCTATTTGTTTCTTTATCTGTCTCTGCGTCTATATGTTCCTCAACCTCTATCTGTATCTGTCTCTCCCGGGAGAAATTTCTCAACCACAGGAGCAGAGTACGGAATGAAGACGTCTTAATAATCCTACTACAGTGGGCAATGGGTTGCGAAGAAACCGTCGTTGTGTAAAGATCAGGGCCCTTGAGTCTACATAAAATCATCAACGCGTGTCTGTGTGCACAGGCATATAAACATTCCAATCGTACTGTGCATATATTCTTCCCGGAAGTGGAACCAATAAGTTGACAAAGTTTTATCGCAATAGGATGAACGGTACGGTAGCGCATTAAGTTTGAATAAAAAAACACGCATTGTCTTTTGCATATAAGATACCCGTACGTTAATTTAACCGGAAGCACAAAATGTTCTGATTATACAATAAATAAACTCCTTTGGCGCATGTTTTCTGGATAGTGGTTAACGTTGGTAGTGTGACTTTCTCTAGAATTTAAAGAAGACATATCGAAACGTTTTCATGTGGTGCAGCTATCTCTATGCAGCTGTAATATTATGTAACATTAAAGTTCATTGGAATATTGTGTCCAACTATATTAATTCGGGCCGGCCGAGACAATATGTTTATCAGGGTACAAAAGGTTACCACGAAAGTCAAAAAGGAGCTTTTTAATTTCTATCCGATTATAATTTAATTTACGGACATATAATCAATTTTAACAATACAAATATATCTGCTCCAGTACCCCCATTGTTCAATGAAAGGTAGTATATGATTTGCATTCACAAGATCCCTTGTATTCGCATTGTACTGTAAAATTTCCCTAGCAAGCGACTATCCACTAAAATACGTCAAACCGCAAACCCCAGGACCCGAATTCGCTGTGGGGAATACGGAGGGGGCAATAAAGCATTAAGTTAATTATTATAACGAACAGAGCATGAAACAAACATCACAGGCGTACGTATGGATTCCAGTAAAAAAAGGTCACGAACCGCATCAAACGCCGTTTTCATTCGCTGGACAATGGATCATTAAAGTTATTAAAAGGAATGCCGGCGGTCGCGTATATGACTAATTTTATTCGCAGGTTAATTGGTCGTGCGTTATTTTGTAGCTTTGCGCCGCGATACGCGAAGATAGGGTCGGTGCCGCGCGCCGGGTGCCGCGGTAGATAAGGCCAGAAAGAGTGAGAGGGAGGGAGGGAGGGAGGGAGAGAGAGAGAGAGAGCGAGCAATTAGAGCGCGCCCATCAAACGCGCGCGCGCGAGTACATCGGTGGAGGAAAACCGCGCGAACGCTCCGGGCTGTGCGGCCGATGGTCCGGCGCTGCCAACCTCACTGGCAAAACGTTTGGCCAAGCACGACGCCTGGAACAGCTTTGGGATTCCGAAGCCCCTATCGAAGTGAAACTAACAGCGCTAAAACAGCGCGTGCTTTCTCGCTCGTGTTTCACGCAAAATTAAGCGAAGAGTACTCAAAACCCATCTTTATGGAACAGATTGCATTAAGGAAAATATCTCTATCTTTAATATTTTAGTTGTAGGAAGGCTCCGAAAAAAAAAATTGAACCTTTTCAATTTTCGAAAAATTAGTTTTCAACATGAGATCTACACCATGCTCTTACACGTCCTTTTACAAACTACCCGACAAAAATAATAATCAAAAACGGATGGGGACATTTAAAAAAAATCGATGTTCCAAGGGCTACATGTAAAGTACCTCGCAAAATTAAAATATATGTTCAAAATCAAGACCGCCTACATCACCCCAAATTGATGGGGAAATACCATTTTTTGGAGAAAATCCGTTTGGAGAATGTCAGTTTAGCCGCTAGCGTAGTTCACAGACAGACGGAGGAAAAACGGACGGACGGACGGACGGACGGACGGACGGACAGACAGACAGACAGACAGACGTTTTGTCGTCATTCTATTTTTCGGTATCAAGGACACAAATCATTGATTCTTGCTACACTACATTTTGGAGGATTTTTTTATAAATTTAGCTAAATTTAACTGGATTTATCCACTTTTGTGAGAAGTGTTTTCTGCCGAAAATGTGCAGTTTTTCCGCGCAGCATTACATAACGATCTCTCTACTCCGTAGCATGAAAGTAAAAATAATCTTGGCAAATACCAAATGATCAGTTCATATATATGCTATTGGTTACATCGTATTGGCGGGTGCGACAACTGCTGTGAACATTATACCATGTAATTATGTTATATCTCGGGAGATAGCGGTCTTCCTCCCTAGTAGGGCATGACATAGGTCATGACCGGGACCAATCTCCTCGTCCATTGGGCGGATTTACCTCCTCCGGGAATTTTATCGGCACCACTCCTGAAGTAAGTGTTACCAACAGTTATTATTTCGTATTTTAATTTTTACAGTAAATTCTGCATAATTTTTCATCCAGAATCGAAACATCGGAAAAGGAAAATCATCAATCACAAAATAATGATGTTAAAGAAACATCGTCGTTAATTCATCGAGGATTAAAACATCGATATTTCGCCAAATGACCGCTCAATGACGGAAGCATCGGTAAAATTACTTAATAATTAATTCAATTTTTTAAGTCTATTTTGATGGTCGCGATTTATTATACAACCTAGTGTATGGGGGAGTTTGAGACGTCAATGTCGCATCCCTAGATCACACCCGCATCTGGAGCGGGCGAAAATGCATACACTCAGACTGGGCCTGCAATCGCCCACGTGAACGTCCGTCCTCTGAGTCCCGCCGTGTTTAGAAGCGCACCTCCGCCCTCGATAACGTCGCGTCCGCATTTTGCCACTTTCTCACGCGCCCGACCGTCGCGCTAGCAGAAGAGTCGACTTGTGCTCCACGCCGCCGCCGCTGCCTCACCTGATGTCACCACTGGCTCACCCGATGTCACCGCTGCTTCTCCTGATGTCGCCGCTGTCTCTCCTGAAGTCGCGGTCGGTGTCGCCGCTGTCTCTTCTGATGTCGCCGCTGCCTCTCCTGATGTCACTGCTAGCTCACCAGATGTCACCATTACCTCACCTGATGTCACCACTGGCTCACCCGATGTCGCCGCTGCCTCTCCTGATGTCGCAGTCGCCGTCGCCGCTGCTTCACCTGATGTTGTCGTCGCCTCCGCTTGTGAGCGTAGACAAGAAGTCGATTTTTTGGGCAGGTTCTAAAACGGATGAGAATTCTACCGTCAGCCAAAGGACTGGAGTGACGTCTTTTAAAGCTTTAAAGCGTCGTAGTGTACTTGTACTATTGCGTCGAATAGCGCGTAGTATGGTTGGTCTGCAAAGCAGAAACTTAATAGCGTTTCTGTTCAAAATGAAAATTGCATTAGAATAGAAGTGCTGTTGGTAGATTTGTGTTCAGTGCGTGCAGTTTCAGTTGAGGGATAGTTGTAACGTCTAATTTACTTTTTTCCGATATGGTTACTAAAAGTAATATTGAAAGAATTAGATACAAATCATGTCGAATTGCAGACGACAGTATGTGTCCATGTGAATTTTCATCAAGTCATCAAGCAGAAGTAAAAGAATATGCCATAAATTCTGAATTTCAAAGGGTTTTTATCTCAATCTCGCAACTGATTACATTTTTATCAAAGAATTAAACATGTAAATAATATTACTTAAAAATGAATATTTATTGTTTACTTTTCTTGCATTGTAACCACATACGAAGTGAACATTTTTCAGTTAGCGTAAGAACAAAAATTATCGAGAGTAAAACAACTCTACCAGAAGTTAGCAAACGTTTATGAAATGAATGCGAATTATTTCTGTTTTACTCGCCGACCACAGTTCCCAATTTCGAAGAATGTCAAAAGAAAACCGCTCTTGTGACTGAACAGACCACATTGTCGCCGTCTCCGCGACAACGCAGGTCTCAGACCCTTTCCATTCCTCAACGCCACAATAACTGGCATTGAATTTTAAAACTCACGTCGACAATGTCAATGGGACGGCCGCTATCGACAAAACTGCTGATACACTGTGCCTTGCACCGTTGCCCAAACCGTCACTCTCATTGTCATTGCCAGAGCAGTCAACAAGGCGGCACCATTTTCTTCATTGCTACCTTTGTAATCAATTCCGCGATGGCTGACCCCAAATCATCACCAGCGAACACGCCTCGGTGATGTCCATTGCCGTCTCTATAATGAATACCACCCACGATGAGACCCTCTCCTTCCGTGCTCTCGCGACTGCCGTCGCTTTTGAACGTGACATTCCATTCGCTAATAGCTACACTACGGTCATTCCGACCATCAGAGCTCCGCCACCATCCTTCTGAAATCCACCGTCAAAAATACCTTGCGCCCACCCACCTCAGCGAAGCCCGCTTCCACCAACGTCGCCAAGCCCTGCCACCTCCGCCTCCCACATTCCCGCCCCAGTGTCTCCGCATTCGTCGATTCCCGGAGCAGCGCTTTCCCCCGTCCCTGTCGGCGAATTCGCTGCGTGCAGCTGCTCAAGGAAATATCCTCGACGCTGCGCCTCCGTCTCCTCCGGAGGTTTCGCATTGCTGCGCATCTCTCTTACGTAGCTCGCGCTCGCCGTCACCAACATCATCGTAACGCCGTTATCGTCGTCATTGTCATCGCCATCGCGATCACCATTGTCATCATCATTATTATCGCCATCGCCGTCATTATTGTCACCGCGATCGCCATCACCGCCGTCGCCATACCATCGTCGTCATTTTCATCTCCACCGCCATCGCGCTATCGTCATCATCATCATTGTCATCATCATCAGCACGCTCGTCCTTAATGGCCATCTCCGTCGCCAAAGCCATCAACCTCGCGCGCGAGCCGTCGCCATAGCCATTGCTCGACGCCCTTTGCTCGTCTCGTGGATGCAGGTGAAATATCAATAAAAAATATCGGTTTAAAAACCTCTATGTTCAAATTTAAAACATCAATGTTAAAAATACATCGTTCAAAAAGCCATCGATATTTTTAAATATCACTGTTTTAAAAGTGGCTTATTACCCTCTTATGTTCGCACGAGGTGAAATTTGATTTGACAGGGAACATGTTATTAATTAATAATTAAAATTTAACGACGAATCAAACTGAAAAATTATAACAATTAACAAAAGAGCCCGAAAGTCTGAGCGCCGAGGGCCATCTCAGGGTTAGAGGTTCTTTAGTTCACCGTAGAATAATGCGGGAAGGAGGGGACCGATATCTAATGCATACACGTTGGTCGCCTCCGAAAAAAAATTTCCCTTTGAAATTCGAGGAGAGGCGTGGAAAATACCGAGGTATAAGGGTCATCTCTGAGGGAGAGATGGTTTCTTCGATGAAGGTGGTATAAAAAACGTTCGCTTCTTTCGAGAACATGAATTGGCAGTGATATCATCAGTTATTATTTTATACTGGTACAAAAAGTGTGGTTGTGGAAAATTATAATTCACAAACAAAACATCGACAACATCGAACACCAACTGCCATTCATCAACGTCGCATCTGCACTCTTGGCCCGCATCACGCCTTTCGATGCCACCGCCGCCACTGCAGCTCCCACGGCTGCGGAAATGGCCTTGGATGCTGCGAAGCACGGTGGCGAGCAACGGCCGTCACAGGGAAGTCCTCCACGAATAGATGCAGGGAAACTATCCTCGCGTTGTACTCAGCCCAGTCATTTGATCGATTATGTTGCTTCTAGGCATGCCAAAATGAGAATGAGTGAATATTGATTACGGGCGCGTGAACTACTAAGGTTGTGTAGGTTCCGTATGTGTAGTGCATGCTACATTCCGGGAGGTGGTGATGATTTCCCCCCCGCTGTCTAATCGTTGGCTTCCCCATTGGTGTGTATCCCACAGCGGAGCACATCCCAACCGAGACAAGCTCTTAAGGTGTTGCTCGTGTAAGTACGTGTGTAAGAGGAGAGAAGAGAGCAAAGATGAGCAATGAATCGTGCGTTGCGCATTTGTTAGGGTACAATTACATGGGCGCCATCGCGCTGCGACGTACGGCAAGAATTGACCGGAGAAACCAGAGGAAATCATCCATCGGAGAAACTGGTCTCTAGAATTGTAGTTAGTGTCGAAAATCGACCTCCGGCGGTACTCGGACTCTAGGTCAACGATGTTGCAGAGGAAACTGTGTTTGCCGTTGCTGAGGGTAGTGGAAACCATCGGGCCTCGGTTTACCTTGTACGCATCGAGCTTTGTTAAAAAGAACTGCCGGAAGAAAAAAACAAGAATTTTGAGTGTAATATTGTGCTAATCCTGTCACTTTCGTTTATGACTTGTTAATGAGCATCTTCATTTATTCTGAAAGACGATATTTTACTGAATTCATTTCTTGACGTTATAACTAAAATTTGCAATGTTTGCAAGTTAGTTTTTCTTCAAATATTTACGCTAAATTATATGTGAGAAATATATGCTTTAAAATCCTTACAATTTTGGTGTAGTATTTAAAGGAATAAAATCGATAATATTGTCATTCATTGGCATAATTATCACGATTTGTGTCATTTCTAATAATATTGTTAATAAAGAAAAAAATAATAAATAACTTGTGAAAACTATTTCTAATCTTTATCGATAACAGTTGACCTGTATCGATGACGGGTAGTCACAATCGAGCATGATTGCATCGAACACATAAGGTGCACAACGCACGCCATCAGTTCACCGTCGCAGACCCTCAAGAAACCACGCTCTGAGATTTTCCCTGTCGAGAGAGCCCGTAGTCCGCGACCATTCGTCTCGGGAGATAAACATTGCACTTAATATTGTCTTCTCAGTAAGTAGTACAAAGCTACTCAGCCCCTTCTGATCCTCTCCTGATTTTCTGTTCGCCAGACCATTTTCATTTTTTCATGTCATCTGATTGTAATGATCGCTTTATCTTTTTTCTTCGCCATCAATGCACCATATGAGCAGATGCACATCGCATACCTCTCATATCTACAGTTTTCTCATTTGTTCCTCTTCCTTCACACTACTCTCTCTCTCTCTTGATTTCCTCTTCTTTCCTCCTCCCAACTGCCTCTCCCTAGTCGGTACTCATTGCCCCCCCCTCCCCCAGAAGCATACGCTACTTCTTAGAAGCAGACGTCTTTATTTGCCCTGTAATACACAAGAATCGCACAATAGTCATTTCCCTTCCCATCTCCCTCGTAACGCGAAAGCCAGGAAAAGCAAAGCCTACCTTCGGGGAAGCAGGCACAACAGAAGTAGATGCATCTTCCCGGGCAAGCCGATGCGTTACGAGGTGGCAACGCGAGCGGCGCTGGCGCTGAGTATGAAGACGTTCCCGTGGTGCTTGGCAGGCGCCGCACGTCCTGTGCGCGGCCGTATCGCCCGGCGCGCGTGCCCTTAGCATGCAAGGCGCGCGCTGATAATTCGATGAGCGAACGCGGCAGCTGCGCCGGCGGGCAGAGGCGGCGGGTGCTGCGCGGAGCGGAACCTTTCGGGGCTGGCTCCTCCGCTGGAGAGCGCTCTGCACAAGCGACGTTGTAATTTCGCACGACAAACAACTCAATGATCTAGTCGCTTTTACTACTCCAGACCATGATTTTCAGATTAATAATTTAACTTTTCGAGAACAATAATTTACAATTATCAGAAATTACAATAATTAGTAAAATTAGATAGGGTTCACTAGTGAAATCATACATCTCCAGAATCATAAAGGGGACAATTTATTTAAGGGGATCACTTCCACTTCTTTCAGTCGGTACTTTGTAGCAAAGATCGCGATTCCTCTTCCAATATCTGGTCACGAAACTTTGATTGGTTGATTAGTTTTTTCTGGCGCGTCGACGACCAAGGTCATTAGTTCCGTCAAGTGTAGTGCATGTTTTTATCGCAGGCGGTGCCGGTAATCTTCCTCCAGTGGATGGCGAAATTGGCTTTTGGTTTTTCCACAACCACATTTGTCCCACCGGTGGGGCACCGGTGGGGCAAAATATAAAAGTTCTACGTAAATATAGTTCAGGGTTCATAATTGCATGCGTGGAACCTTCGAGAGATAACATACGCGTAATCGGGAGAGTCAGTTTGACGTTCGCCAAGACACGACTGCTTTAGCACGGTGGCGTATCGCCCACACTGATATATCCGCTTAGATAATTGAGTTTATACATCTTACCCATATGGACATTATCTAACACAGGGGCGAATCTAGAGACGAATTTTGGGAGGAGAAATTCAATATGTTTTGTTTGAAGGTGTGATATTACAGATTTTGTAAAATGTCGTAGGTTAAAGTAGCTCATGGTGCAGTACGATTATAATGATTATTCTAAAATATTTTTGCTTCAGTATCTCCTGACAAATAAAAAATAATAGATTGTGAACAATTTCAGGGGGGGGGTTCTCTCATTTCCCTCCTCATGGATCTGCGCCTGTCTAACAGGTCCACATAACGTGTGTGAATTTGGTTGTAATATATATTGCTTATCATCACTAAGCATCATCATTAGAATAAAAGAAGCAAATATAGTGAGTAACACTTCCTTCTCTTTGTCAGTTTACGTCAAACACAGTGAAAATTCGTTTCATCAAATGAGCGTTCTTCTAACATTAATGACTATAGTAAAGCTGGTGTTTGTAGATTTAAATATATATGTATATACGATGTACTAGTGAGCGAAATATTTCGAAGTTAATAGAAAAATTAAATATTTAAATATTTGAACACAATTTTGTGTGCAATACAAAGAAGTGAATAAGTTCTCTAATCCTCTTCACTACACAAACCAATATTGAATTTAACAGCTGACAGGCTTCCTAACTAAATTAATGTTAACAAAACGGTGAAATTTGAAAAACATGAACTGTAAATGTTGCCTTTCAATTTACTCATATTGAAGGTAATAAATTAAATTACAGTGTGTTGCAGAGGCGTGAAATGTCACGCCTCTTTTTAAATAAACTGCGAATAAACAAATGTGGCTTGTTTACCTGTAGCATAGATTGGAAGTGTTTGTTCAAAACAATTCGATTTTCGGTAAATAATGTATAATGGAACATTGCTGGCTCTCGACCAATCAAATTCACCGTCGTTGGTTTGCCATTGCCTCCCTTTGTCTAGTAAGCTCTCTTTTTCCCTTTTGCCACTCTCTTTCTGTACATTCGTTCTGTACACATACATTACGTACTTTCTGTACATAGGTACATAGGTACATAGTACATACATCTGTTTTGAATAGTCTTCAGACTGAAGATTGAATCGTGAATCGAGCACGAGAGAGTAACTCTAACAAGGAGTACTAACCATTTTTGAAGATTGAGGTAGTTTGCCATTACGTTCCCACACGGCCTAAAAGGGCCGAAGGACCACCTGCCCGATGAATAACAGCTTTCACAGTACACCGTCTATACCCTCAACAATTTTCCTGTTGCTTCTGTCTAGAGGTTGCGCCACTTTGTGATCCCTCCCCTGGAGGTTGAATTCGGGTTCTATTTATAATCGTAAACACAGCAGTTGTTTAATAAAATTCAATAAAGTGAAGTATACACTCTCTCTATAAAAGAATTCTTTGTATCGAAAACCTCCCTTTTAGGTTACACATTTAGCAATAGTTTTCGGTTTACCTTCTTATTCACATGCCCCCACCCATATACATACGCCACCATTTACCCATACGTTGATAAACTCTCTTCATATAACAAAAACTCTTTCACGAAAAAAAGTACTTTATTCAGTATTGTTACTTACTCGGTGTATGCCTAGTTTGGACGCATTGTCATCTCACGTCTCGGCGATCATTTTCGCCGTCTCCGCGCTATTTCGCTCTTCCCCCTCCCCTTCCCCTCCCTCCACCCACTCG